AGCAGGAATAGATGAAGCATAACTTTATTTTTAAATACAGGGTAATCCTACTCATTCTATGTAAATAAAAGATTTATAATGTCTCTGCCAGTAAACATTAAACACTTCTCTCCTTCCAGTTCTGCAATATTCCTTGCCAAATAACGCTGCTTCTCTTATCGTCATTGATTCCCACACTCAAATCTCAACAATTTATTCATACCTTTTATTTCCTCCTAAAAGCTCTCTCCCTTTCTCCAAACAATACGATCATGTACTGATCTTTACCATATTCAAAGAAAAACAAAATCTTATCACTGTATTTACTACCTCATTTCCCTTCATCTCTATGCAAAATCTAAACTAACCCAATGTGCCATTTACAACATTTGCCTTGAATTCCTCTCTCCTCCTTTCTTTCTTGATTCTCTTCAACTGAGACTGCTGTTTTCTCTGCATAACCACATCTCAAGGCCTCTTGTGTACCCTCATCGTTTGTGAGCCTCTTGATACTTCTGACACTGTTGAACACGCATAATTTCTTAAAACCTATTTTTTCCTTGAATTGTGCAACACTGTTCTGTCCTGTTCTCCTCTTAATAGTCTAGATGTTCCATGAGTCTTTTGACAGATTCACATCTTTCCCATTCTTCAACACTGTTCTCTCACAATTTTGATCTTTACAGTGTTGACTACCTTTCCATTCTGGATCTGTCTCCCTAGATCCACTTCTCGGTCCGGTTGATAAAGCCCAAAAGTCTTGCTGTCGAACTAAGGAATTACATTTTGAACATTTTTTTCAGGGCTTTCAACCCAAGCACCATTCATAACCTAAGAGTGTGTTTCAACTTCTCTGAAACTCAGTGCAAACATTGTCATTGACTTCCGATGGAGACGGATCAGACTGTAAATAATCTCTATAATTAATAAAACATCTAAACGTTTACATCTCTCTAAAAAAAAAAAAAAAAATACAATCAAGCTGAAACAGAAAAAGCAAAATAAAAGCTGATCAGCATACCTATCACTTTATTTTTAGTCACTTACTTGTGAATCCAAGTCTTCTCCTTTTACACACAGATTAGCATCTATCACATTTAACCCAACCAAGAGTCCAACAATAACAGCTCCTTCTTCCTCCATCATTAGTGCATGGTACTCATAAAATTCACTGTTAAACAGGTAAGTGCACTATGTTAAAATAACTGTTTATTTCAAGCTACATGTTAACTCAGTGAAATTTAGCTAAACAATATTAAACTGAATGTATATCTGACTTTCATACTCTAATTTTAGCCTCGCTCTCATGTTCTTAAAGATTTATATCACACTTTGACTTAGTCACTGATGGCAGAAGGCAGGGCAGAGGCCTTATAGGCTAACTAAATCAGAGATGTATAGCCTGAGCTCACTTTATCAGATGCTGGGGGAGGGAAGAGGGCAAGTGGCAGGGGGGCAGGAAGGCAAGGAGGCTGCCTGACTCCCCACCCAGTCACCTGACTCCCCCCCTCAGCCACTACTTTCTCTGCTGTAGCAGTGGGTTGGGGACGAATTCAGGACAATCTAATGATAATTAGATTCTATACCTGGAATACTATAACAAATCTATACATATCTAGATATATAGAGATATAGTTGGATATAGATATATATATATATATAAAATCTAATTATAATATATGGGGGGGATCATCTTAAAATTCAAAGTCATCTTAGATTCCAGTAAACATGGAAACTTTCTTAATGTACGTCTAGAAAAACATCTATGATATGATTTTGGTATACAGTACTAAATACATTTACAAATAACAAGACAAACAACAGATGTCCTAATACTTAAAACTATATTGCCCAAGATGTTACATGGGGTTTAGAAGCTCTTACATACTTCAACTACACCATAACAAACAAGAAGTTATAGTAAAAGGATGTAATTAAACTTTATAATAATATAAAGTACCGGATATAACAATAGCCTTGATTTCCTACATGCATTTTATTAAAAACGTAAAGATACGGTTAAATAAAGTCTTCACAACAACTGACCTGAGGAGATCTCTTTGAATGATCAGACAACGTAGATAATCAGCCATTTTTTTTTGCATTAGAGCCAATCGTAACCATGCCCTGGCACGGCCCAATGGTGTTCTGAAAAGAAAAACAGTTTATACATGAAGTAATTTTTAACTAATGACCTTCATCAGCTTGTTGATACAACAACTGAAACTTAAAAGAATATTTTAAGATATTTAATTGAATGAATTTCAGTAATCAGTCAAGATACAACTGTCTAAAATGTTGTGCTCTTAAGGTATTGATCCAAATCCTACTGAAAACCATAGAAAGATTTCCACACTCTGCAATGGGTTTTGAAGCAGGTCATTACAGCAGCTAAGATAAATATTTCACAAGTATATCTAACTAGGACACACAGTCTTTTGGGTCTGTCTGTCAAACAAATTAAAACCTTAAACTCAGACTTTTGATTACATAAAGTTTTGCAAGGCAATGTTAATGAGTTAGGATGAAGGGACTTAAATCAAAATGAATTAAATCACCAATACTAACTGATTTAAATTAACAAGACCCACACTTTGATTTAAATCACTAATTTTAATCTTACTTGCACATGTACTTTTTAATTATTTTCCTAGAAAAAAGTTCATTCACATTAGATCTAACAGTTAAAGCATGTTAATTAAAAAAAAAACCCAAATATAATCTTTACACTGCATTTGTTATTTATTTTTGTTAATAAGAATTTTTGTATCTACACATATTTATTTAAATAATTATATAAATCAACAAACATTTATTCAGATTCCTAGTTTTTATATTTGTTATTATGTTAAAGATGTATAATTCACCATTTCCTATTTACTAGACAACCATTTTAGTTGGGATTTCAATCAGGCTGTATTTGCATGAAAAATTGAATTCAGTTAATATGTAGGAAAACAACTCTTTAAATGAGTTTAAATTATCTCAGATGTCCCTGATACATAATAAAATGTTACAAGTTTATCAAATATGTTCTGCATTTAACACTAATTTATTAAACAAAAGCAATATCAACTGAAGCTAGCAAATTTACAGTTTGTTTCTGGTCACCTTGGGTTAGATTTTGAAAGCAATTTAATTGCCCAAAGACATAGTGAAATATGCAATAACATCAAAGCAGGTTGAAATAAATGGGAGTTTGTGGCTATGAAAGTGACCAGCTAAAGAGACGTGTGGTTAACAGAGTCAGGAGGCATTCCAATTGTTTTATGTATTCTTGGCCCAGCGACCCATCTCATTTAGGACTACTACTATCATTCCAAAACTCTAAACCAGGAGCAGCCCTGCCTTGCCACTAACATGCTGGATCTAGTGCACATGGCACTAGCTCTGGCTGATCAGGGACTGTGCTGCACACAGTACTCTTACAGGGCCAGTTTGTAACGTGCCACATGCAGCATCCACTCTAGCCAATCTGGGACCCATGCTACATGCTATGGCCACCCTGGAGCAGCCCCCAAAGGCTTCACATGCAGCATGCATCCCAGACTAGCTGGGGCAGACACATACAGTGCACATCCCAGACCAGCCAAGCACTGCATGCAGTGCATGTCCCAAAGCAGTTGAGTGGGGCACATGAGCATGTATCCCAGACCCCATGTGTGGGGCCAGTCTGGCGTATGCTGGGTGCAGCATGACCCAGGTCAGTCTGGTATGCACCAGGTGCAGTGCGTGGGTCAGCTCCAGACCCAGGGGTAGCACACAGGGCTAGATGATGGGGCTCACAAGGCTGTATCTTTGGCAACCCTGCTCTAAACAGCATGACCCAATGCCATTTTTACAGCCCCAAAACTCTGTACCCTGGCTATTGCATGAGAACCAGGAAGTGCAAATAGCTGCTGTTTTCATTCATCGAATCTCCAAGCAAAACAAAATGTAGAAAGTAAAGAAACAATATGGCAAAAAGTAATCTTCAGCCTTATTAACAAATAAATAGCAAAATAAGAATGACCATTCTTAAGGCTATAAACCATTCTTAACAGAAGTTTGAAAAACATTTTATTAAGAAACAATTCAGATAATCTCTTGCAATGTTTAGTCTCTGAAGGGTTTACAAGAAAAAGCTGTATAAATTGGCAGTGGTTATCCACAAACAGTCCAGTTCTTGGGCTGAAGAAACTAAATATTTTAAGATATCTACAGCTTTAACGCTAACCTTTGTTCCAAGATATCTTCGTGTTAGTAAAATGTGTCCCTGACATTGAACAAAATGCAAAAAGATAAAAATAAAAGACTGGTATCAACTCGTTCATCTCCCAACATAGAAAGCAAACTAAATTTCATCACTTGCAGACACCAGATCCAGTGACTGCAGAGTGTATTGCAATGTAGATTAGTAATGCCATACAAACAATGCCACGGGGAGGTATGTTATAGTCCTCTTACTATTAAAGAAAGGGGATGGTAATTAAGTAAATCTGAGAATTCCAAAAAATATTATCATATCAAAATGATTATTTTTTCTAATGGATACTGGATCAGGCCCTAAACCTTTACTGCTGTATGACACCAATAATACTTACTTGAGGCCAGGTAAATCTCTGACGCTAGCTGCTATTTCCTCAGCTTCTGGGTACAACTTCTCCACAAGTTCCAGAGGGCCCCAAATAGTTTTATTATAACTTAGAAAGGATTTTCTTACTAGTAAGATGAAAATATAATTTAATTTAATTAACGATTTACGTAGTTTAGTTGATTCTCAGAAAGCTTACATCAGTATAGCTGTGTTAGAAACAGTAAGAAATTGTTTCACTGTATGAATATAAATATTTCTCCAGCAAGCTTCTAAATTAAAACTTTAAAAATTAGTAATAATAGCTTGACAAGGTTCCTTGGGTGAATTTGATATCTTTTATTAGACCAACCCAAATGGTTGGAGAATAGTGATTAAGCAAGCTTTCAGTTTCAAAACCCCTTCGTCAGGCTAAGGAAGCTGCAGCAGTTAGCACACACCAACTGCTGCAGCTTCCTTAGCCTGACGAAGGGTTTTTGAACCCGAAAGCTTGCTTAATAACTATTCTCCAACCATTTGGGTTGGTCTAATAAAACATATCAAATTCACCCAAGGAACCTTGTCTGCCTATATCCTTAGACCAACACAGCTACAACCTAAACCCCTAATAATAGCTTGGAATTTCTGAAAATAATCGTGTAAAGCAATTTTGTTTTCATATTTAAAATTGATATTCAAATATATAAAACCATTGAAACACAAAGTGTCAATTTAAGAGACTAAATCAAGATGCAAGTAACATGTATACAATCCTGGTACCTCAGAAACCATTTCTAGTAACTGACAGTGACTTAAAAAGGAAATGAGTACGCATGTAAGAATGTCTGTTATACTAGTTTAGGATACTTCGGATTTATTATACAACACTTTAAATACTCATAATATTGTACAAGGTAGCTAATGCACTATATCATCCTACTTTAGAAAGAAAAATATAAAATGCTTTGGTACCAAAAAAAACAAAAAAACCACAATAAAATTATTACTGCACCTTTAAGACCATGTTTTAGGCAATGCTCCATGACAACAAAGAACTGTTGCAAAGGCGGATAGTCAGAATCCAGAGTCCGACCAAAGCTCAAAGCTGATTCAATCAGTCCTTTGATACTCAATTTAGCCATGTTCAGCAAATTCGCTCTTTCTACAGCTGTGGGATCTTTTACAGCTAGACGAGGAAGAAAAATCAGCATATTTCAATTACTAAAACAGAAAATTAACCAACTAAATACTTGTTCATAGCAAAGCTGTGTCACCCTAACCTGGATTTATGCAAATGAATAGTTTAACTCCGGTATAACTAAAAAAACAACATAACTGCCAAAACAAATACACATATGTTAAGTATGGGTAACATATTAATACAAATAAAGTAAGCTGTCATCACCTTGCCTTCTCCCATGCGTTGTATACAGAATTACATGGTTTTGAGCTGTATTATTGTTTCAATTTATCTCTGTATCAATCAGTGCCAACAAGGTAATTTACCCAGACTTAAAAAACAGAATAAAGGTTTATTCTGTAGCCCTTACCAGTGCAGCTATCAAAAAAAAAAATCAGCTGCATACTAGTGACCAGTGCCTCCTCTGATACCAAAACATGTGTTTATAATAAAGTTACATCTGTTTAATATAGCACAGCCAACAACAGTCTGAATCCAAGACACACATCCATCTGAAAATCAAATAGCAGTTCTTTCTTTTCTTTACACCAGGGTTTCCCAAACTGTGCTACACATACTGCTAGGGATATGCAAGACATCTCTGCGGGGTATGCAGGAGAAATTGTGCGATGGAGGATTTAATTCTCCTTATACTAGTAATTAGTACTTAAGAGGCTAAAATATAAAACATGCTGGAAGGGATATGCGGACAGCTGGTAAATCTGGAAGGGGGTACGCAATAAGAAAAAGTTTGGGAACCTCTGGTCTACAATTTATTTCCATCACGGCCCCAATTCCATGGAGACTTATACATGGATTTAATTTTACATCCTGTAAGGAATTCCTATGACTGCATTCTCAAAAGTAATACCACAGAAAAAAATTGTGCATGTATTAAGACTTCAAATATAATGCTAGTCTCCATCTTGGACAGATATTTGGCTGGAGTGATATGATCCTGGTACCCGTACCTGCCCAGGGCAGGGGGTTGGACCTGATGATCTGTTTAGGTCCCTTCCGACCATAAGTACTATGATACTATGATCTTTATGCACCCACACAAAGTGGTGGCTTTGTTTTACAGTTCTACAGAGAGAAGTTTAGAATGGACACAGAAACGAGTTTTCTTTTCTCAGTTTTCTTTAAGTTCATAGGAAGTTTTCTATCCATTATTACATTTTGTAAAACTTGCCAAAATAATTCACATTTCAAAACAAATACCAGTTGACAGCATCTCTCTGGGCATTTTCAGGAACAGTCTCAACACAGCTTTCTGATAAAATGGAGGTCATATTTGTTTTTCCTAAAACTCTTAACTGTTGGAATTAAGGAAACTGCACAAGAACCTCAGCTCTTTGTCTCTAACCCTTATAGTTATGGAGGAAATGCAGAAGCCAAATAGTCAGTTTTATTAAAAATCTCATGATTTTTAAGGTAATGATATTTTGAGACCCAATTCATGATTTTCAAATGTCTGCGGTGGTTGGCAGTATAGTTAATCACTTTGCTCTGAGCTGCCAGATCTCTATACGTAACTGCTAGGGGTGTGCAAAGCAGGCTGTATTTGATTTGGATTCCAGCTGATTCGGAGGACAGCGATTCAATTCGTTGATTTGGATCACGGTCCCGATTCGATTCGGCCGAATCCAAACCTGAAGATTTGATGCCGATTTGGAGAATTAGCGATTCAGCCATAGACACAGCTTTAAATATTTTTTCTACATGCCTCAAGGTAGCAGGCGCAGGTCGTGAATGCTGCAATGCTGGGGCGGACAGGAGCACAGGGGTGCCCCCTGCATGCTCTGCAGCAGACCCAGAAGTGGACCAGAAGTACATCCGGTCCACTTCCGGATCCACCACCAAGCGCACAGGCACCACCCCCCCACCACCAACTGGTCCCCCAGCTTGGCGAGCAGCCGTGGAGGGACCCTGGGTGCCCCCCCCAGACCCAAAAAAAGGCACCAGTCGCCAAACTGGGGGGCAGAGGAGGGGGTCCCTTGTGCACTCCGCAGCAGACCCAGAAGCGAACCAGAAGTGCTTCTGGTCCACTTCTGGGTCCACTGCCAAGTGCACTGGGGATGCCCAAGCGCTCCTGTGCGGCGCTCCATCTGACCCACCATCTCAGTGTTCACGAGCTGTCTGGTACCTGGAGGTATGTAGAAAAAACATTTAAAGCTGTGTCTATGTCTGAATCATCAAATCTCTCCAAATCAGTTCAGAGGGTTCCAATTCGATTCTGAGAGATTAAAGGGTCTAATTCGATTCGGATCTGGAGATTCAGCAGCCAAATTGAGCCAAATCTTAATCAGTGAATTGAATCAGTGACCGAAGCTTCACACCGCCCTAATTTTCAGAACATGATAACTGCACTGTTCCCATCAAAATCAGAAGAGCTATGACATTTTCTCACCACGTTTCCCTGAAGGCATAACACAACAACATTAAAGAAGTTGTCTATTTGAGCTTGAACCTGTGCTCACAGTAAAACTTCCACAAAATAACTGAATTTTTTCAGATCAGTTTTTAATAAGCAAAAATTGTTTCTAAGAGAGAAAACTAAATAAAATGTATACCAAATGTCAAAACTACTGTATACCTACCTTTAACTCCCACAACTATATTCCTTAGCAAAAGCAACTCTACTCTGGAGGGTATTACTTCAAAATGATTGCCAGATTACTATCAAACTTACCTCACACTTTTCTAAGTATGCAATGAAATAAAAACTATCATCATGGTAATACTATACTTTCTAAAATCTTAAAAGCTACAGGCTGTTATAACTTGATATTTTAGAGGGTGATTTCATGAACAAGAATGATATCAAAATCATTACTAGCTTTGGCCATTTTGGAAGTATGGTTTTAAAAAATTAATCACTTCCTTTCCTGCCAATACAAATTACATCAGCAAAACTTTCTACTGCTGCAGGCATTGCTCAATACAGAGGCTTAAGATGTGGAGCTCTCACTTAGCAGCATCTTGGCATCTTTCATATTTCCTCAGTGGCATGCTGCAAATCCTATTCATTTCAAATGCCATAAACCTAACTTTTTTGGCATATCCTTGCCCATTTCTATCTCCCCAGTCATTTTAATGTTCACTCTCTTCCCCTTGCCTAGTTCAAAGTAAACCTTTTCAGGAAAGAGGCTTTGCTTTGGTTTTATTTTTACATTTAGTGTAGTTGTGTACTGGACTGGAACGTCTGTTTTTCCCTCTTTCTTATTTTAATATTTTGAAGGTGTTTGGTCCCCATTTGCAAAGATATTATAACTAGGGACCTAACTTGCAGTGACAAAAATCAATTTTCGCCCTAGTTGCAACCTAAAAAGCCAATTTTGCAGTCATTTAATGGAAGCCCCACCCCTTGGCACTGACTGGCAAAGAGGCCCCACCCCTCAGTGGTGATTGGCAGGCAGGAAAGAGGGACAAGGAGTGGCCACCATCTTGACTGTTGACTGCCCTTCATGCAACCCCACCCCCCATCACTTGACTGGCAGAAAGGCACAAGGGCTGCTGCCCTGCTATCCAGCACCTTGTCTTGGGCAGGCTGCAAGGCGATGCTGCAGCAGCAAGGATCACTGGCTCCCAACATTTTATTCCAATAAGTGTTTTTTTATGGTTGATTTCCTAGGAAATTACAGCCAAAGCCATATTTTGCAGCAACTACAGAGATTGCCGTTTTCTCCGGTTTCTGCAAAAATCACAAAACCAGGATTCAAGCAGGTCCATAATTATAACGGGCCTTCACTCATGGACCTTTTGGGGTAGATGCCTGATAAATAGAAGACAGCCAAGTGTAAACCACCAAGTCTTGCTCGGTTTAGAAAGAAAAAGTAGTGAGAACACTCCCATGCTCCCCTGATTTCCACCCACTCGCAGGAATCATGCCAACAAGACTGGACCCTCCCAAGTAATGCTGCTCCTTCCATCTGGACAACAGCTGCCATTAGCGGACAGATGAGCAGCATTTACCACACCACATCCACACCTTCACTAGCAGAAAGGATCAGTCACTGAAAACTGCAGCTAAGGGCAGCATATGTCCGTGTTGCCTGAACTGAAGCCCACCACCCTGCCTAAACGCCTTCATCAAAAAAACAGGTTTTGCTAATACAAGAAATTCCTGCCTCCCCCAGCTCTACCCAGCGAGAAAAGCAATGCATTCCCATGGAAAACAGAGGGTCTCTCACAGGAAACAAGAGAAACCCCAGAGCCCTCAGGAGCCGGGTTCATCCAGAGCGCAGGCAGGGGTAGATTAATGCACGGGCCAGTGGGACCCAGGCCTGCAGGCCCCCGCCAACCTGGGACCCTGGGGGGCACCAGGGGGAGCACAGCTCAGACAGGCATCCGGCCGCAGGCATCCAGAGCTGACAGCACGTGCCTGTTCCCCTCCGGCTGGGTCAGGGCTAGAGCCAGGGCCAAGGCCAGCAGAGCTCCCTGAAGGCAGCAGCAGCTTCCTGGGGCCGGATGCTGCGAGGAGGCCCAATGGGCAGCCCCACTTCTGCTCCCCCCTATCTGTAAGCGGCTGCTGGCATCAGTACGGCTGACAGGACAGGATGGGACAATCTGCCGCTGGGGTGGGCAGAGGGGTGGCACGGAGCCCTGCCCTCTCCCAGACTAGCCCCTGGGGGACTGCAGCCCCCACTGCCCAACACAGCCCCGGCTGTGCAGATGGTCTTGCCCAGTGCCAGGGCCACCTTCACCAGGGCAGCACTCACACCCCCACCCACGCAGGCAGCTGCTTGGGTGGGCCCAGCCGCAGCCCCCTGGGGACACAGAGAGCACCTGCCTTCACCAGGTGGGAGGCTCCAATACTCTGTTTGCCCAGGGTCCCAATTAATCTTAATCCTCTGGCCGCAGGAGAGGGGCTGCCTTCAGCCCCGCCCTGATACCACGATCCCGCTCTCTGGCGCCGGCAGGCCCGCGGGGCCGTTCGTGCAGCCCTGGCCTGAACCGCCGCGCTTCGAGCGGGCCGGGCCACCACTCCCCGCTCTGCAGCTCCTCCG